ACAGGACACAGTGAGATGCCTGTTCAGTATCTCAGTCCAGATGTTCAATAGGTAATGGGAGGATATGCAAGTGTAGAATTCAAGAAGTCTGGGCTGGAAATGTCTGTTTGAGAGGGCTTCTGGCAAAGGCCATGACACTGGATGGAGCACCATGGGAGTGAGCGAAGAGGGAGGAGAGAAAAGATACAAGGCCTGTGATGACTCAGGAGGTAAGGATGAACCAACAAAGTAGATGGAGGCAGCAGCCGGTGAGCTCACAAAGCCAGGGGAGTGCGGTGTGCAGAAGCCTGAGAAAGAAAGGTTTCCAGGAGGAGGAAGTGAGCCTCTTGCCAAATGTATGCCAGGTAAGAGGATAAAGACTGACCCCTGGATTTGGCAGCCTGCATCCCTTTGGCCGTGGGAAATGTAATATCAGTGCAGTGGGCTCAGGAAAGCTGAGAGAAGAATGAGACCCTGAAAGTACAGGCAACCCCGTGAGAGGTTTTGCCCTAAGGCAAATCGCCAAAGCGGGTAATAGCTGGAGGAGGACTCAGTGAGATTTTTTTTTAAGGTTGGAAAGTGATAGCGTGTTTGGGTGATGATGGGCGTGATCCATCAGAGAGGGGGCAATTGCTGGTGCACCAGAGACAGGAGAGCACTCCTCAGCAGTGTCTTTGAGGAGGTGAGAAGGGACAGATCGTGAACAGTGGTGGAACTGGCCTTAGGAGCACACCACCGTGAACCTCTGCTGGACACCTACTGTGTGCTAGGTACTCCATACACCGATGTCATTGAATCCTCACAAATTTGAGAGGAAGGTAGGATTAGTCTGATTTTTCGGATAAGGAAAGCAAGGTCTAGGAATTTCACAGAGTTAGAAAATAAGCTGAAAGGTGAACCTCCTCTAATTTCAAATGCCTGGTTCTTTCCCAGGCTGCCCCATGGAACACCCTCATTTTCCAGTGAGAAACAGGGACAATTAAACCTGCTCACGGTCTCATAGTGGACTAGAACCTGGGTGCCTATTTGGCCCAGTGGTCACTTTGGCTGAGCTCTCCCTCCCATATAGAAGACCCTCTTCATTCCAGACCTTGTTCCTCCTACCTACTTTTTTTTAAAGTCAGTTTTATTGAGGTATAGTAACATAGAGGAAATCCACCCTAGGGGTTCAGGTCTATAAATTTTGACTAATGCACAGAGGCATGTGAATAGCACCACAATCAAGATAAGGAATACTCTCATCCAACTGATGGATATTCAGATATTTCCAGGTTTTGGTGAGTATGAATATAAAGCCACTGTAAACATTTGCATATAGATTTTTGTATCAATCATATGTCTATAATTCTCTTAGGCAAGTATCTAGGAATGAGATTGCTCGGTCAGATGTTAAGTCCATGTTCAGCCTATTAAGTGCTGAAACAATCGGATATCCATATACAAAAAAAACAGAAAAAAGAATTAACCTTGCCTATATTCAGAAAATAACTCCAAACTGGATCACAGACTTAAAATTAAACCTAAAACTGGAAAAAAAAATCCTGAAAGAAAAACATAGAATACTTGTGACATTGCATTAGGCAAAGACTCCTTAGATTTGACATCCAAAACATAATAAAAGAAAAAATGATAAACTGGAATTCATAAAAATAAGAACTGCTTTTCAAAAGATACTGATAAGAGAATGAAAGGATTAACCATGTACTAGAAGATATTTGTGAATTACTCCTCTGAAAAAGGGCTATGTCCAGCATGCATAAAGATTCTCAAAACTCAGTAATAAAAAACACACAAAAGATATGAACAGACACTTCATCTGAAAAAGACACATAGAAGGTAAAGAGACAGAAAAAGATCCTCAGCATTAGTCATTTGGTAAATGCAGATTAAAATTACAATGAAATAAACTACACCTCTATTAAATGGCTAAAACTTTTTTAAAAACCTGCCAAGTGCTGGCAAGAATGAGGAACAACTGGGACCCATTTATGTTGCTGGCGGGAAAACGAAATGGTACAAAACTCCTATTTAAAAGATTCAAAATATTCACAAATATCCTGTGTTAGCTCAGGTGTAGGGAAGTGAGGACCCTTGTGCATTTTTCTTTGGGATATTTATAAATATGTTGATCTTTGTAAATAGGAGTTTTGTAAATATCTTTGTAAATATGGAAAACAGTACCTCATAGTGTTCATGCACACATTTCTATTGTGAAAAGAAAAATGGAATATAGTGCAACTATACCTCAGCAGTCTAATGACCCACCCACAACTCCTCAGTGAGGATGTTGAGCGAACACCATCAACATACATGACCTTGTCTGTACTCATGAAGAGGGTGCACCCTACCCAATAGCACTAAGCATATCTTGTGTGTATACATGTATAATTGTTTATTTTTTTCTAGCAGTGGTGAAGCGTTTGTTCTGACCCAGTGCGACTCCCTCAGCTGGTCACTTTCTGGCACAAGGTCAGGAGCAGCCCTGTGGCCCTGTGCTACGCATTTGCACAGCAGACCACTTCCTCCTCCTTGGGACATTTTCTCCTCTTGGCTTCCCTGCCATCTATCTCATCTATCTCCTAAGGCACAAGCTCTCTTTCTCCATTTTCTTGGCTGGCTTCTCCTGTCTTCTGTGTGGGCAAATGTGGGGGAGCCTAGCTCCTTCTTTCCTCTAACTATAGCTTCTCCGTAGGGGATAGCCATGCCCCTGGCTTTAAACACCAGGGCCAGGACTCAGGTGAGGCCTCTGAGACACCTAGGTCATAAAATGTAAGGAGACACTCACTTTCGGGCTTGTGCAAGCACAGGGTCAGCCCCAGAGAATGACTGTCTCCTTAAACTTTATGTCTGAGGCACCTTGCTTGCCTCACCCTAGTTCCACCTCCTTAAATACCTCATTCTGCCTGGACTTGCAGACACATAAATCATTTCTTCCATCTCTCTTTGGAGATCTTAAATGCAACTCAAACTTAAAATAGCTAAAATAGCACTCTTGCATTACTTCCCATTCCCACACCCGAACTTGCCCCTTCTATGTGTCTATTTCACTTCATAGGATCATCATTTACTCAGGTGCTCAGGCCAAAAATCTAGGATTATCTTTAATTCCTTTTTTTCAACAAGTTCTATCTTCTGTCTCCAAGATATATTCCGACAACCTCTCAGAAGCACCTCTTCTGCTACCACCTTAGGCCAGGCCCTGTCTTTTGTCACCATAAATATGCTCTCCCAGCCCATCGGGTCTCCCTGGTTCCACTCCTTCCTCCTTCCTTCCTCCTTCCCCTTCTACTCTCTAATCAGCAGCCAGTGATCTTTTATCATCATGAAGAAGATTGTGTCACTTTCCTACTTAAAACTCTCCAGTGGCTTGCAAATGAATTTACAATCAAAAGCAGACTCCATACCATGGTCAGTAGGCCAGTGTACAGTGGGTGCAACGATCTGCTACCCAACATAACCACCCCACTTCCACCTGCTCTCATTCCCCAGGCTCACTGGCTCTCTCCCACCCAGGCTGTGTTCTTTTTCCCTGGAATGCTCCTCCCCAGATCTTTATTTGGCCACTTCCTTCTCAACTTTCAGATGTCACTTTCCTGACCATCCCCACCATTACCCCATTCACTCAAAATCCTATTGTTCTGTTTTATTTTTCCACAGCATTATCATTAGTCTGTTACCACTGCATGATAGCTCCCCAAAGCTCAGGGGCTTAAAAACAAAAATGCATTCGTTCAGCTGGACAGTTCTTGATCGGGTCTTTCCTAATGTTGCAGTTAAAAAGCTGCTGAAGTTGGAGTCATCCAGAGGCTTTCCTGGGCTGGCCATCCACGACTCTTCCCAATCATGTCTGGTGCTCCTCCAGGGGCCTCTCTCTCCAACAGAGTCACCTGGACTTCCTGCATGGCAGCTCAAACCTCCAAGAGGAGAGAAGTAGGAATGGCTGGTCATCTTACTGGCAAGGCCTGAAATGGCTTGGTGCACTTCTGCTGCCATATTCTGGAGTTCAAAGCAGTCATAGGCCAGCCCAGGTTCAAGAGGATTGAGGAGTAAATTCTACCACTTATAGGGAAAGTGACGTGTGTGCAAAAGGAGGGAAGGAATTGATGGTGGCCATCTTTGGAAATAAGCTACTACTTTTGTTTACTTATTAACTGCCTATTTACTCTATTAGGTTATAAGCTCCATGAGAAAGCAGGGTCCTTGTCTATCTTGTTTCATGGCTCTATTTCTAGCACCTAGAACAATGTCAGGCATACAATAAGTGCTCAATTAATAAGCTAAGCACTTGATAAATGTTTGGGAAACTAAAATGGATGGAACTCCCCAGCTGGGTCTTCCCAGGTTTGCTGATGCTGAACTCTCTGAAGCCTCACCAGGTAAGGGAAACCCTACATTTACGAGGCATTTCCTTTCCTCTGCCAACAAGAAAAATTTGCCCTGAACATAAAACCTAGAAATAGATTTGGTGTGTTTTCTAAATGGAAAACATTTCTTGTATCACCAGAAATTATTTTCCCACAGCTTGTGCTACATCAAAATATTGAAGTTGACTGAATAACTCATTCTTTAATCTTGGTGTGGGCTAGAAACCATTTTTTTTTTCTTGTAGCAAAGGAAATAAAGTAACCTCCTGATGTATAAACTCCCCCAGATATCCCTAAACTGAAAATGACATTATAAGTTAAGATAGAATTTAAAAAAAAGATAACTACTGAGAAATATCATCAACATATACAGCTTTCGGTTATGAAGCACTTGTTTATTTAATTACATATGACCAAAGCCAGAAGAAACATCCTCTCACACCTCCCCTTTGCTAATTTTTACTGAGTTCTATGAAATAATCCCATGTTTAAACCTTTCAATAAATCCCTTGTAAATTAGTAAGTGAAAATGTATTCATCTGAAGGGTTTTTCTGATTTTTGAAGTTAAAAAAAAAAAAGGGAAGGATTTGACTTTTGAAATTAAATTTGCAGACTACTAAGAATGAAATTTCTTCTAATCTTTGTTTTATCTTCAGTTTTCCCAGATTTGCTCAAAGCGATCCCAGTGAGCATCCACGTCAATGTCATTCTCTTCTCCATGATCCTTATCGTTCTAACTATGGTGGGGACAGCCTTCTTCATGTACAATGCATTTGGCAAGCCCTTTGAAGCCCTGCATGGTCCACCTGGGTTGTATCTTCTGAGCTTCATCTCAGGTGAGTGCAAAATTCTACCTCTGGAGACAAGTGTTCTTTTTACTGTTAAAAGACAGGTCTGCCCAATGTAAAGTTACATGGATAGTCACTGTAGCATCATATATAATAGCAAAAAGTAGAGAAAAATATAATTATCCAACAATAGGGAATTTGATAAACACATTATGGCAGTCTATATGAATGAATATGATGCTGACATTAAATTATGTTTATAAATAAGATATAATCAAAAAGATAAATTGTATCAGAAGTTAAGTTAAAAAAGTAGTATATAAGATTTTATAAATAGGAACCCAGTTTGACTCTCTCTATATATTCTATACATATAAACTCCATATATATATAAATATATATATATATGAGTACATATGTACATATATAATAGAGAGACCATTCTGTTCATAAGTTACCTCTGAGCAGTGAAATTACAGGTGATTTTCACCTTTTCTCATACTTAATATTTCCAAATGTTCAATAATGTGCATTTATTCATAATCAGATAAACAAGTAAAAACCACTCAAAAAAGACTAAAGGGCCAGTGTCTTCCCCACAGTGAGTTGTCAAATTCTGGTCTGTAGGTACTTTGTGTAGCCTAATGGTAGATGTATCTGGGCAAGAATAACTCTAAACCCAGAAATTAGTTCATCAGTATACATGTCCTCCTCAATAACTGGGGCTGATGGAAAAGAATATAAAATCCAGTTAGTACCATCTGGTGCTTAGGATATATTTACAAGGAGGGGAAAAGAAAGATAAGAAAACCAGAAATATATAAATAACTCCTATGGAGCCAGTCTTCTGTACTGGGTCTCTCATTTCACCCTGCTCCAAACTTGCATAAGACCCAATACTTTGTCATATTCTCAGGATGCAAACAGTTTTGATTTCAGGGAGAGATGAGACAGATTATAACTCACACCAGCAGACAGGGTACTGAAAATCCCTGTTAGACTGTTTGCTTCCCTTCTGAAGCTGCTCCTTAGCTGCCAAGCAGGCCCAGGCCCCTGCCTTTACCGACACTACTCTCTTCTCCCTGCAGAGTTCAACTCTAGCCACAAAATGGCATAGCTCCCTGTCTGTAAAACAAAGCCTTGTAGTTAACAGGGGCTCACTCCTAATACAGCCTCTATCCATTATTACTTGAGCACTACTTGGAGTCTTACCCCATCCACATTTTGCTAATAAAACAATTCACCCAACCAAAGCAATTCTCTCTCTAGTGGGGGTTCTGCTATTTCCTCCATATCTTTCACAAGCAACTAATACAGCTTTAAATTGTATAAAAATGATTACCCTATGAGGGCGGAGTCTAAGTCTCTCTCATCTCTGTATCTCTAGTAAAAGCATCTGGCATGAGGCTCTGCACACAGTGAACAATTCAACACATATTCGTGGAAAAAGCAAGCCCAGAAAGAGATGTTAACTTGGTCACTTATTACAGGTTAGAGAAATCAGAATATGAATGGGATGGAATTAGTCAAGCAGGCCCATAGAGGCAGTAGGATATGAGCTGAAGAAATATGGGATGGAATATCATGAAGGAAGGCCAAGGGCTTTGCAGTGAGGGCAGAGGAGCAAGCACAGGTACAGGGAGTGGATAGACAGACCAAGACGTCATTCAGTTTCATGGGAAGGTCCAGGTTAGAAGTGTGAGTTGCATTACCTCCCCCTACCCAACATACCAAAGCACCCTGGGAAATCTGGGCAGTGTGTTATTTTAGTGAAAGCCATTGAATCAATCAGGGACCAACTAGAAAAGAGAATATACACTATTTTTATGGAGAGAATATAATTCTTAAAGTGGGGTTCAGTGGTTCTTCACGTAGGGCACCCAGACCAGCAGCGTCTGCCTCACTTGGGAACTTGAAACTTCACAGAAAAGCAAATTCTCAGGCCTTACCCGAGATCTACTGAATCAGAAACTCTGGGGTGCAGCCCCTTTAGCAAGCCTTTCACGTGCTTGTGATGCATGCTCCTGTGTGAGAGCCAGAGCTTCCTCGAATTGATGAAAACAGGTATCAGAGGCCAAAAAAAAACACAAAGGAGACTCCGGGGTAACTCGGACATGGTAATTCCAGAAAGCAGCCACCTTCCCGAGGGCTTAGAGAACTGAGGGAAGAGTTTGGGGTTACCAGAACCTAGAGGCTTGAGGAGAAAAGCAGGAGCACTGGGTCTCAAACCTCTGAGGCAATGGCACTGTTGAGGGACACCAAGAGGCGGCTCTGGGGGTGTAGAAGGGCATGGGAGCCCCCCCACCTGCTGCTGCTGGGAAGGGCTTCTCCTGGGTTAGGAACAGACCCTCCCCTCTTGCGGTCTCCCATGCTCCCCATTAGCAGAGTCTCATGGGAAGAGGCTGACAGGGCAGAATCAGGGCCTGGGGTCACAAAGCAGAGAAAAGAAGACTTGGTTTGAAGCCGAGATACAAATCTTAGTAACTGGCATGGCCATCTTGCACTCCAGCTTCGGAATGAAATTCAGAAAAACAGCCCATTTGGAAGACAAATTATTTGACAGTTCAAACGGACGGCCAAACTAACAGTATTTGAAAACCAAGATGACTCAGAGAATGCAGAATTTAATTCAAGTCCCAGATCTTATCTTGGCCTTAGCCAAGTGTAATGCAAAGAAAACCTGAACACAGAAATACATGTGGGAAGACACAGATCCTGTGCTTAAATTGTATCTTCTTTATCTTCGAACTTGTTGCAAAAGCAGGTGCTCAATAAAGGTTTGTGGATGAGGGAAGGAGGAAAGGGGGAGGAAAGAAAGAAGGAGCCGGCTCCAGAACTGTCTCTTTCAGAGGGTAAAGGTCTAGTGTTTCCAGATCATCCATTTTATTTTAAACCCCAAATCCTTATTTTTGAATACTAAATTTTCGATATTTTTTAAAACCTGTGTTTGACAACAAAACATATTTGAGGGGCAGATGGATGGATATTTTGTGACCTCTGGGGGTAAACAGGTCACTCGAATCAGAGACTGCCTCATTCCCCTTCCGTTACATACAGTACCCAGGAACCCCTAGAGTTTTAGAAATATTAAATAATATTTATGAATATTACATAATAATCCCCAACTCTAAACCCCAATTGTGGGAGGGTAGGGGTTTTACAGCCCTTATCACAAACACTCTAAATGTGAGCCAATAAATCCCACACACAGGCCAGAGCCTGTATCAGGAGATCCCTTATTTCCAGTGTGAGTCGCATTCCCCTGGAGACCCCTAGCTCCCACACTGACTCTCCTGCCCTATTTCTCTGCCCAGGTGGCCTCCCTCATAGTCAGCAGGGAGAATGCCTTCTCCCTGGACCTCCCTTCTCCTATCCTCTCCCTCACCCCTGGGCTTCCAAAGTTCCCCCTTTCCTGGTGCCAATGTCCTTCAGCTGTCCCCTTCCCTCCTGGTTGGGGACCCAAAGCTTGACATCCAGAGGCACAGAGACAGGGGAGAAGGGAAGGGGAAAGGAGTCTTCCTGGTGACCTCCTGGGGCCCTTGCCCACTCACTGCCCAGAGGAACAGTGCTATGAGCGTCTCCTCATGCTTCCTGGTGTGGTGCGGGCCAGGCCCCGGAGACCGAAAAGGAAAGGCAGCCAACCTCTGGAGCAGGCCGCCCACAGTTCTGCTCATGTCCCGGCCTCCTATCCTGCTGCCCTCTGACCACCCACTCCTGCCTCTCCTCGTGGTCCCCAGTTTGGCCCATCCTATCCTTCACCCTCCTTTGTGTAGCATTTCTGACCCTATCATTGTTCCAGGAAAACCACGCAAGTCACTTAATTTGCTCTTTCTCTTCATCTCAATTACAAATGAGGTCTGAGAAATTTTTCCCCAAATTAGGATTTTAGTGATGTCTTAATGGTCCCACACAGTTCATTCTGAGTAGCGATTCTCATCCTGGACTGCACATTAGAATCACCTGGAAAGCTTTCTAAAACCACAATGCCAGGTCCCACAGCACACTAATTAAATTGGAGTCTCTTGGGGTGGAAGCTGGGCAGTTCCTTTCCTTTTTTAAAGTTCTCTCAGCTAATCTTAACATGCGACCAGTGTCAAGAACCACCGATGCAGGTGCACACACTTCATTTATCCAGCAGACCCTGACTGAGGGCCCACCATGTGCCAGCCCCGATGACAGGCGCTGGCGATACCACAACGAATGAGGCACACAGTCCTGCCTTTGCGGAGCCTGCAGTTCAGTGGGAGAGGCCTCCAAAAGTGTGCATGACTCACTAAAGATCCCAGTCATTATAATAAGGGTGATGAATAGGCCGCTCTAATAGAGAACGAGGGGGAGGGGAGATCAGGCTTGGATGCGGCGGTCAGCAAAGGACTCCACGCAGCTGAGTTCTGAAGATACGAAGGAGCTGAGGGCCCTCGGAGAACTTCCCGGAGAGGGGCAGAGGCACACATGAGGACTCAGGACAAAGAGGTCACCTGGCTGTGGGAACTGAAAGGCTCATGTGGCTAGGGGGCAGGCAGTGAGGGGGAAATGGAAAAAAACAGAAAGATGAGAGAGATCGGTTGATGCCAGTTAATGTTGGACCTCAAAAGCCATGGTAAGTCTTTTAGAATTGATTCTAATTGCAATGAGAAGCTTGTGAAAGACTTTAAAAAGATGTTGGATAGCTAATTTGCCTTTGAAGAAATGTCTGCTGAAAGACTAGGCTATTGCACTGGAGCTGGAGAGATGAACAGATGCGAAAAACATTAAAAAAACAAATCCAAAACGTTTTGCAGGTAGCTTAAGCAATTAGTGAATGGTGGTGGCATTAGCCAAGAAGAGTAAGATAAAGGGAAGAACAGGCTGAGAATTTAGGGCAAAAAAGAGGCGGAGAGAGAATCTTAACACTAGAAATCAAGTGTTCTACTTGGAGCAGTTCAAGGTTAAGATCCTATGAGATATCCAACTGGAGTTGTCAAGCAGACAGTTGGATATATGAGCCGGGAGCTCAGAGAAGAGGTCTAGACAAAAGACATAAATTTGGATGTTGTCAGGATATAGAT